GCAAGTAATGACGTCGGCGTAATGTATCTGCAAACCATCGGTGCGTTATACATTCGGCCCCGTACAGCCGCGACTGGCGTGCTATAGTGGCCCACTACTGCTGAAAATCCGTCAGACAGGCTCGACACGAATTATTCTCTGAGTATCGTTCAGTTTATACGTAATTCGAGTTCATGCAGTTTTCTGTAGCAAGCGCAGGATTACGCAAAGCGTCGTTGATGCATGGTCGATCAGCTGTCACCACCACCTTCGCACTGCAATAAGAAATGAGGTACCAAACATTAGTAGTTCCTATCATTTGGGAACGACGTCAGCGTAGCTCTGGCCGACTGGGCTGGCCCTACGTCATCTCCTGACGCCGATCTCCGACGACCGCGTAGCTCTGACCTACTGGACTTGCCCTATACGCCATCTCCTGACGCCGACAGGAGCTCTCGCAAATGGTGTCCCGTCCTCGGACTCCTGTGACCGTGTTTACATCTTTCCTATATCTCCTATCCCCTCGATATGTCCTCGCTCACTGGCTTAGCGCATCTCTCTTTCTCTCTCTCTACACCTTTACTCCTATCCTTTTAATGCCTCCTCACCCCCATCCTTTGTGAGCTACTGTTGAGGTGTCACACCCTGATGCAGACAGTTACGGGGCTCACTTTTCTCTTCTTTTCCCTCTTAGAACCACTCCAGAGGTAGCGAACATTAGCAGTTCCTATCATTTGGGAAGGTACTTTGGTACGATATACGCCCCGTGCCGCTTTCACCGATATACATCCGGTGAAAGCGGCGTGGGACGTGCGTCCGTGCGTACGTCGCATCTTTTCCGACGCGAGTTCACGAGTTGATCATCCTCCCGCAGCCATCATGGATTGCACGGCGCGCCACCTATAACACGTGGGCATTGCGAAGATCTCGAGAGTGTGGACATCGGTCGTCTTCTGCTGCTGTGAAAACTCTACAGCTGCTCGCCGTGACATGGTTCCCAAACGCCTCAGAGCGGTCGTTTCCCTTCATTGTAGCGATTTTCCCTACGTAAGTGGTGCCACCATAGACGACGGATTATTTGCGCTCATCCGGCAGGCGAGGAAAATCTAGGAGGCCGTGCACAGACCCCCCTGTTCTCCGGCTACGACTCTGACCAAATTAAGATATTTTATGTGTTCTATTATGCATCAGGATGACAAAGTAATTTTGCTTGGTTATTTCAACTTAACCAGATATTGAGTTGGGTTCGCGTATTACCGAAACCAACGTACCACATTGTGAGCATCTTTTGAACATTGCCTTTTGTTTTAACCTATGCCGAAATGTGTGAAGCCATACACGTGTCTTTAAAGCTGTATCCTCTGACCTTGTATTTGTATCATCGTTCTTGGAGAAAAAGGTTAAAACATACGATGTAATCGAGAACACATGAGTTCATAATATGCTTATGATTTCCATGGATATGACTTTAGCCAATTAATATAATTATTGCAAAAATAGTTTTGAATTTCGCGGCGTCTGATGCCTTCCCTGCTTTAGAGAAACTTGAAAGCTCATTCGATAGAATTGTTCTCCTGAAAGATTATAATGCAGGTATACAGATAGACTATGTAATTATTTGTCACAGGTGGTCACTGAATGCATTCAAATATTTATTCAAACACGTCAAAAAAGGGTAGTTAGAAAAACCCTTGGGTAACACTTGAAGAGATTCATGCCAAAAGGTTTAAATTACTCTTTTTGATAATTAAATAGAGAGTAATATAGGCAGGTCAGAGCATACACATATAAAAACTTGAAACTGGCAGACATTCCTTCTACCAGATCACACAAAAAAAAAAAATGGAATAAGTTCAGTTTCATTCCACGGGTGATCAGCGAGTGAAATAGGTGGCCAAATTTCCTGCTTATTTGAATGCGTACGTTCCTTCGTAAAATAAAATTAAAAAAAAAAACTAAATGAGCTTGTGTATAATTATGTATTGTTTATTTCTTGCTCATTTTTGTGCTCAATAGTAAAGTGCTTTGGCTATTCTTCGTCATTCCTTATTATGTATTATAATTATTTGTATATGGAGTACTTATTTTTGTGAATGTATTTTTTTTCACCCCTATTATAGGCCAAACGTGCCTGACATGCAGTGTCATGAAATGAAATAATCTGTCGGCGAGAAAAACACACATCAGAGTTAGTTTCACGAAACACTGATGGAATACATGCGGAAAATAGTATCAGGAAAGTTACTTGATGTCGTATAAGAGCCAGTAATCCATGCAGAGAAGTTGCAAACGCTACAGAAAATGCCATACGACGACTGCTGATAGCCACCGCGGGCCGTGTTGCGGAAGAAGCACAAGGCGCAAAGGGACCGACAACAGCCCAGAACAAAAAATGAGATGACTGCGCGGATGGAAAGATCGTCCCTCATAGTGACTCATACCAACCCCATTTTTTTCTTGTGACAAGTGGAGTTCTATTTTCATTTCTTCATTGAAAATCGCGGAAATAGCCTGTAGCACTACTTAGCGGTAAAAACTTCAATTATCCGAGCTGCCCTGTCCCGTGACCGCAAAATAGTGTATGTGGTCAACAATTTTTCTGTTAGTATTGAACTAGTCTTTTTTTATAATTGAAATATATTATTCCACAAAAACTTAGATATATACTTGCGTTGAAAGCACACATTAAAGTGGCGCTGCCTTCGCATGATGTAATCATCCCATGCTCGTCAGCGCGTCTTGAATAACTTTTCTGTGCTCTCATGAAAATCGTGTACGCAGTTTCCGGGTCGCTATAAGATTTTTGAGCGACGTGCTTTTTCTATTTACGATTCGTCTCAGAAGTTACGTGTTCTGCTAGTCGGCACGACAGCGCATATGCGCAGTAATGTTTTTGGTGACTTGGCTTGGCTCGTGTGTCGAGAGAGTAACGACGACGAGACAAGCCATCCACGACACAGGGCGCAGCAACTTTGGGCACAGGCGCACGCAACGAGGTACAAGTACAGAGAAGCTGTATAAACCTATCGTCTCATTGTAGCGGCTTGTTATTAAAAAAAAAATGTTGTAAAAATTGAGTAAATGTGGTTAAGGATAGCTACAGGATCTCTTGCGAAAGCAGAACAATGACAGCGTGCACAGGTCACTAGAACGGCTGCTGGCATCGCTATCAATTCTTAGCGTCACTAGACAAATAGGCACGTCCGAGTTCAGAGCCATTATAGATTAAAAAAAAGTACTGCTTATAAAATAGCCAAGAACTTATGGGTTGGCATCTACGAACACTACGAAGGTATAAGCTTTCTGTCGCGCCGAAAAAAAACTGGGTCGAAACGAATCAGTGATGCTGGTGATGCGCACTGGTGTGCTGCGTTTTGCATCTAGACTATTTACGGATAGGTTTGTGTGCTGCTATAATGAACTGATAACCTCTGTCTTTAGCATTTCTAACAACTGTACGAACATTGTTATGGTAGAATAATGTGCATTAAAATGGTTAGGCTAGTACATACGATGTTTCGTGGTCACATTGATTCACGTCTTGGTATACACAAACACTACATAAACATACATATAACCAACCACTATACATAGCCTTCATAGATTACGAGAAGGCGTTTGATTCAGTAGAAATATCAGCCGTCATGCAGACACTGCGGAATCAGGGTGTCTATGAAGTATATATAAACATCCTCGAAGAAATCTACAGGGGATCAACTGCTACCATATTGCTTCATAAAGAAAGCAACAGAATACCAATCAAGAAGGGTGTAAGGCAGGGGGACACAATCTCCCCAATGCTATTTACCGCGTGCTTACAGGAGGTTTTCAGAAGCCTAGAATGGGAAAAGTTAGGCATAAGAGTTAATGGAGAGTACCTTAGTACCTTAGTAACGGAGTTACACAGGGAGAGCAGAAAGGTGGGTCTTAAAATTAATCTGCAGAAAACGAAAGTAATGTACAACAACCTCGGAAAGGAACAGCGCTTCGAGATAGGTAATAGTGCACTTGAAGTTGTAAAAGACTATGTCTACTTAGGGCAGGTAATAACCGCAGAGCCGAACCACGAAATTGAAGTAACTAGAAGAATAAGAATGGGGTGGAGCACATTCGGCAAGCACTCTCAAATTATGACAGGTAGATTGCCACTATCCCTCAAGAGGAAGGTATATAACAGCTGTATCTTGCCGGTACTTAGCTACGGAGCAGAAACCTGGAGACTTACAAAGAGGGTTCAGCTTAAAGCGGGCAATGGAAAGAAAAATGGTAGGTGTAACCTTAAGAGACAAGAAGAGAGCAGAGTGGATTAGGGAACAAACTGGGGTTAAGGATATCATAGCTTGAAATCAAGAAGAAGGAAATGGACATGGGCAGGGCATGTAGCGCGTAGACAGGATAACCGCTGGTCATTAAGGGTAACTGACTGGATTCCCAGAGAAGGAAAGCGGGTTAGGGGGAGACAGAAGGTTAGGTGGGCAGATGAGATAAAGAAGTTTGCGGGTATTAATTGGCAGCAGCAAGCACAGGACCGGGTTAACTGGCGGAACATGGGAGAGGCCTTTGTCCTGCAGTGGACGTAGTCAGGCTGATGATGATGATGATGATGATGATGATGATGATGATGATGATACACAAATAAGAAAACGTCAGCAGCCCAAGATGCCTATAGTCCATATACTCGCGGCATAGTCGACTTAGTGGGCATCTGCACTCGATCAAGTACCAATAAGTGCAATGCGGAGAGAGCGAATATCGCCAGTTTCGGATCAGGGGAACTGTGCAAGTCCGCAGCAACGTAGGGCACACATTTTTTTTTTTTTGGGTTCCATTATTTCGCCGCGCCTGTCTCCAGCTTACGATCAATCTCCGTGAGCTCCGCTTCAACCACGCCGGAAAAACGACGTCATCATCCAAATATGCGCACCACCGCAAACGGGCGTTCCCCAGCCAGCCATTTGTGTCGGGGGAAGGTCGCCGCATTATCAACGCCGCGTCGCGCGGCGAGGAGGCGACGGAGATCATTTGCCCCAACCGGTGCGGTGGAGGGAAGCGCGCATGCCGAAACCTTCAGCTAGGCTCGACGCCGCGACGCAGGCTGGCATCGTCACCCAGGACCAATCAGCACTCTCCCCCAACGCATCAACAGAATCCCGGAGTGGTGAGCGCACAGCCGCAGAAAAAGAAGGAACCAGAGAAGAGCGCGCCTTCGGAAGGAGCCCTCTTCGAGACATGTCCACAAAGGCGCGGCGCAGTGCCGTGCTTTGGATTTCGCTGGCTCTGCTGACGTGTGGAGTGCACCCTGAGCCATCGGAGGCGGCCAGCCTGGCGGACCGCATCTTCGACGGTTTCCTAAGCTTCGGCCGCGGCTTCTCCAACGCCACTCAGGGGTTCGTGGTGCGCGTGCGAGGCCTGGTGACCCGAATCGGCGGCCCGTCCTCAACGTCCGGCAGCAACAAGGGTGCCTCCGTCACGGACATCTTTGCCAGCGTGTGCAGTTGAGTGCGCTGTCACTTCCGCCGCCAGTGCGGCCACCGCTCGAACCCACTTCACGATGCAGTGCCTTGATATTGTATTTCTGGAAGATCTGTCACTGCGTAAAATGACATCCTCAAGGGAGGTTTTGACAGTATACGATGGTGTAACGTGGTGAAAGTATTACAATTAGATTCAGACCTTGTTGCTATAGGTGACCACCATGGCGTGGCGAGAGGGTTCAAACTTTACAATATGTATATATATATATATATATATATATATATATATATATATATATATATATATATATATATATATATATATATATATATATATAACATAATGCCAAGGAAAGTATAAGGGAAGATATTAGACCGAATTGTAATGTACAAATGAAGAAAGAAAAGTGCGTGAAAAGATAACTTGCCATGAGCAGGAACCGAACCCGTGAACTTCGAATGACGCGTTCGATGCTCTACCACTGAGCTACCACTGCTGCTATCCTCCCAGCCACTTTATTGGGTTTATATGTGAATCAAACGTGAGAGTGTCAGTCAGAGCCACCAATAGCCATGGCGGCGAGTGTGGCACACTCTTTTGAGCCTGTTTGGCGTCACGTAGCACGTGAACTTAATAGGAGTGGGCAGCTGACTAATATTCCCTCATATACAACCTGAAGGCACTAATTCTGCCTGTACGAGACCTCTCGTTAATGAATTAAGGAAAGATGTGTTTACTTAAGGGCTCATTTTTTTCCGTGTTCCGCACAATATTAATGAGATCTAACAGACAATAATACCAAGGAAAGTATAGGGGAAGATATTTTTATTTTTTATTTTGAATACCCTCAAGGCAATTGCATTGAAGAGGGGAGTGGGTGAATACATTACTACAAGTCAGGAAACTGCAGTACAAACAGCAGAACAGAAGTAGCTATAACCTCTACAAAACAAATTATACGGTTCAGAAAGGTCCCAATATTCCTGTTGCGACGAAAAAAAAAAATGCGGCTGAGGTTAGCATAGGTGACAATTTTTGGCATTCATTAGAAATATATATATATATATATATATACTTACATTTGACAAGTGAATTTCACAGATATCAATGCAACGTTATACCGAATCAAATGGCCTAAAACTTAATATTAGACACAGCGGTACGAAACATATCTGGGTTGCAAATTGTGGCAATGTTAGAAGGAAGGTGGTTCCAGTCGTTAGCGGTATGGGGAATGAAGGAATGGAAAAAGGCCTTAGTGTTGCAAGAAGGAACGCCAACTTTATGAACATGATCTAAACGCGAGGATATGTATGAAGGTGGAGTAAGTAAAATATGGTGAAGCATATTGTGTGAGAATACTTTATGGAATAAGCACAACAGTGCAATTTTGCGACGTGACGTCAGAGATGTTAGATTCAAGTTACTTTTTCATTTCGGATACGCTGGCTGCTCGCTGATAGTCAGAAAAAAATGAAACGTGCGGCGTTGTTTTGAATCATTTCGAGTTGATGACTAAGAATTTCAGTACATGGATCCCATATCAGTGATGCATAGTCGAGTTGTGAACGTACAAGAGATTTGAAAAGGAGCAGTTTTGTCGAAGAAGGGGCGCAATGAAAATTTCGTCTTATGTAGCGTAGTATGTGGTTGGCTTTGTTAGTGATGCTTTCAATGTGAAGATTCCAAGATAGGTCAGTAGTGATATGAGTGCCCAAGTATTTATAAAAGTAACCGCTTCAAGAATGTTACCATCAAGGTAATACGAGTGTGCGTTAGTAGTGATGCGAGAAACTCGCATTCATTTGCATTTTGTAGTGTTGAGAACCGTCTGCCATGTATTGCACCAATGGGATAACGCATTAATGTCAGATTGGAGTGCGTGTATGTCACTATCATTATTAATTTCCCGAAAAATGACACAATCGCCATTAAATAAATGTATTGAACATGCATTACAATTAGAACGAATTCTAATGTAAATATGAAGAAAGAAAAGTAAGTGAAAAGATAACTTGCGATGGGCATTTCCGATCCTGTCCACGGCAAGTTGTCTTTTTCATCGCATAAATCACACCGCTTATTTGCTTTGGTTTTTTTATCAGGCAAAATTTATTCACTTACTTTGAAACCACCGAAACTGGACAAAAATACCAAATCAGAGAGTTGTAGATCATCTTGCAAAACGTTCGACCAAGCAGTTCATAATATTTAATCTATTAAGTAACGAGATGCCCACGAAGTACCGAAACGAACAACATGACATGTCTGTTTGCTCGTCGTAATTTTAGTGCTCTCTAACGTTCTGGTAACGTTCCGCGTACAGACGACATGCTTCCCTCTCGGTGGTTCACCATAGCGATAAACAGACACAGAGGTTATCGTTTCAGTTGCTTCACAGTTTATTCTCCACACAGTCACCACCGTAGCATCTGCCCGGTCAGCGGCGGCACACCTGGCCAAATGTCATGGTCGTTTCTGCTCGCAGAACGTTAGGAGGCATCGCAATCACGACGTGCACGAGCTTACGAAAACGCGCAAGTTGTCATGTAACGTTTTGGGTGCGTGTGTATCACGAGCATCTGTAGTGAGTGGAAAACAAACATTTTTTACAGATACAAAGTTAAAAACTGTCTAATGTGAAGTTTTTCAAACCGATCTACAACTTTATCATTTGACCTTTTCTTTTACAACTTCGTTGCTGCTAAAGTTTGTTAATCAAACTGAGCGATAAATCACAACATAAACAGTGCGGCATTCTGTATTCAATATTGAGCAACATGCATTTGGTTGTGGCATCATAGAGCAGCAGCATATTGTATTTTAAACTCTGACTAGATTTAGCTCTGTTAGGCTGTATATGCGCTGGCAAAATTGAAAAATTTCGGAAAGGGGATGGGTGGTGGTGTAATTGAATCCTGACTACGCCCGTATCGTTTCATACTACCAAATGTGAAGGCTCGCTTAGGCGGAAGCTTAGACATGCCTCAAAAAGCGGGAAATTTGACCGTTAGCCGCGACCATGCCGCAGCGTCGGGAACGACTGACGAGTGATGCTAAACATCGTCACTATATGACGTTCGTCATGATGTCACAGTTCGCAAAATTTTGTTTCGCCACGTCCGAACTTGTGACGTCGTTATGACGTCCCCCAATTTTACGACCTGCGATGTCATGATGACGACATATGGTGACGTTATCACGTGATGACAATGTTTTGCCTCAATAGTCCCCGATGCCGCGGCACGCTTTCTGCCGACGGTCAAAGTTCTCGTTTTATGAAGGCTATATACAGATTTCGCCTTAACCTTTTCGGTCCTGGCGTCCTATAAAAAGAACAAGAAGAAACTTTGCTGCCAAATGTCACACAATGAAGTCAGAAATCGAAAAAAGCATGTCCGAACCATCCTCAATACACCTGCGCAAGCATAGGTAATAATTTTTCGTCGTCGTCTTCTTTGGAACTCTGCAATGTGTAAAACAAAATGGCGGATTGCGATAACGATGACACTCGCCACAGCCAAATAATGAATGACACCTTGGTGGTTAACCACGTACGATCCTAGTATAAGATGTAGCAGTAATCCAGATGGCACCACGCCAGTAATGATAGAAGAAGTCAGAAAAGCCTTGGAGAGCATGCAAAGAGGCAAAGCTGCCGGGGAGGATCAGGTAACATTAGATCTGCTGAAAGATGGAGGACAGATTGTGTTAGCAAAACTAGCCACCCTGCTTACGAGGTGTCTCCTGACGGGAAGAGTACCAAAGTCTTGGAAGAACGCTAACTTCATCTTAATACATAAGAAAGGAGATGACAAGGACTTGAAGAATTACAGGCCGATCAGCTTGCTCTCTGTAGTATACAAGTCATTTACAAAGGTAATCGCTAATAGAGTAAAGAAAACATTAGAATTCAATCAACCGAAGGAACAAGGAGGATTTCGAACAGGCTACTCAACAATCGACCACATTCATACGATCAATCAGGTAATAGAGAAATGCCCAGAATACACCCAACTACTATACATAGCCTTCATACATTACGACAAGGCATTTGATTCAGAGGAGATATCAGCAGTCATGCAGACTCTGCGGAATCAGGGCGTCGACGATATATATATAAATATCCTCGAAGAAATCTACAGGGGATGAACTGCTGCCATAGTGCATCGTAAGGAAAGCAAAAGAATACCAATCTAGAAGGGTGTAAGGCAGGGGTATACAATCTCCCCAATGCTATTTACCGCGTGCTTAGAAGAGGTTCTCAGAGGTCTAGAATGGGAACACTTAGGCATAAGAGTTAATGGAGAGTACCTTAGTAACCTTGGCTTCGCTGATGACATTGCATTGCTGAGTAACTCAGGGGACGAATCGCAACTCATGATTGCGGAGGAAGACAATGAGAGGAGAAAAGTAGGTCTTAAAATTAACCTACAGAAAGTAATGTACAACGACCTCTGAAGAGAACAGCGCTTCGAGATAGATAATAGTGTACTTGAAGTTGTAAAATACTATGTTAACTTAGGACAGGTAATAACCGCGGAGCCGAACCATGAGAATGAAGGAACTAGAAGGATAAGAATGGGGGGGAGCACATTTGGCAAGCACTCTCAAATCATGACAGGTAAATTGCCACTATCACTCAAGAGGAAGGTGTATAACAGTGGCACATTGTCGGTACTAAGCTACATAGCAGAAACCTGGATACTTACAAAGAGGGTTTAGCTTAAATTGAGGATGACGCAGAGAGAAATGTAAAGAAAAATGGTAGGTTTAACGTTAAGAGTTAAGAAGAGATCAGATTGGATCAGGGAACAAACAGCGGTTAAAGATACGAATATTGAAATCAAGAAGATGAAATGGACATGGGGCGGGCATGTAGCGCGTAGACAGGATAACCACTGGTCATTAAAGGTAACTAACTAAATTTCCAGAGAAGGCAAGGGGTTAAGGGGAGACAGAATGTTAGTTGAGCAGATGAGATTTAAGAAGTTTACGGGTATAAAATGGCAGCAGCAAGCACAGGACCGAGTTGACTGGCGGAACATGGGAGAGGCCTTTGTCCTGTAGTGGACGTAGTCAGGCTGGTGGTGATGACAATTATTATTATTATTATTATTATTATTATTATTACGAAACAGTACCCAATTAGCAACATTCACGTGATATCGCCCCCAACTCATATGCATTTACTCGAGTTCCCCCGCGATTAGGTGCGGACGGTTTTTTTCCCAAATTAATGGTCTGCATGTGCGACGCACAGTGCTATAATGTTGAAAAAATGGAATCGCCGAAGTCTACGGCACTGAGTGGCAAGCTTATTTGGGGTTGTCAAAAAAAAAAAAAGTTGTTGCCTTTTTACTGGCCCTCTGAAGGGCCCCTCCCCACTCAGTGTTTAAAGACGAGGGGTTGGTTTTATCCTCTCATTCGCCACCCTTCTCACACGTGCTGTATCCTCCTCCCCCTTAGTTCTTAAAAGCACGTGAACGAAGTCAGTACTAAGCCCCAGAGCCTACCAGGATGTCACACTTCTCGGCTGTATGCCGTTATTGCCGCTTGCGCAGCTGTAACACACAAAATGAAGTTGTTCGTGCACTGCACTCACGCGGCACAAGGAAGAACGGACGGGCGGATGCATGGCAAAACAGTGCACGAGACAAATTACATTTGATATTTCGCGTATACGGACCAATAGAGAACATGTACAGTGTAGACGTCACGGCAACGACTGTCTGCGTCACAGACGAACAGGAAATATCGGCAGATAATATGCGCTCTTTTTGTTTTTTGTATTTTGCATGGGAGCCTGGCGAGTGGATTTTTAAAGCAAGCGCCTTCCAACTTTATCTTTTGTCAACTATGAACGCTTTATTTATCAGAAATACGCTCCGCCGCAGTGTTCTAGTGGCTAAGGTACTTGGCTACTGACCCGCAGGTCGCGGGAGTGAATCTCGGCTGCAGCGGCTGCATTTCCTGATTGATTGATATGTGGGGTTTAACGTCCCAAAACCACCATATGATTATGAGAGACGCCGTAGTGGAGGGCTCCGGAAATTTCGACCACCTGGGGTTCTTTAACGTGCACCCAAATCTGAGCACACGGGCCTACAACATTTCCGCCTCCATCGGAAATGCAGCCGCCGCAGCCTGGATTCGATTCCACGACCTGCGGGTCGGCAGCCGAGTACCTTAGCCACTAGACCACCGCGGCGGGGCGCGGCTGCATTTCCGATGGAGACGGAAAAGTTGTAGGCCCGTGTGCTCAGATTAAGGTGCACGTTAAAGCACCCCAGTTGGTCGAAATTTCCGGAGTCCTTTTCTACGGAGTCTCTCATAATCATATGGTGGTTTTGGGACGTTAAACCACACAAACCAATCAATTTCTCAGAAATACTTATGAATTTTTAGTAGCGGACTGTGCTACATGCGAGTGGATGACAATTTTCCTTTTCACGAGTGTACGAGGTTACTTTGAAGTTGAACAAAATTTTATGAAATTTTTATTATGACTGTGACCTTTATTATATAAAATTTTCTGCTGAAACAAAGTCGCCGGCACAACTTGAAGGCGTAAACATTCCCTAAACACCATATATTAATAAATACGTGCAAGTCGGTTTGGTTGGAAGTAAATGCAACAGAGATCGTGATATTCTGTACCAGTACACTGAGACACATAATATACTTATTGACATGAGATTTGAAATACTGTTATATCGCGTTACATATATATACACTCAATGTATAAATAATAAAGATGTTGTATTTACTTGTATTCCAGGTCTCAGTGGTAGCAGTCGCCGTTCCCTGATAAAGTGTTTAGATGAAAACAACGAAAATCTGGTGAGTATGAAGCTACAAAGGAAGGTACACTACTTCGATTACTGAGAGGCTGAGGACCTTTCTCGTTTGCAAAATGAGCCCCATTCAGAATCTGAAACATGGCTGAATTTGACGGTAACACGAACCACATTTCTAATTAGACGATGGGAACGAAAATACTTGAGGCTTGTGTATTTAGATTTAGATGCATTTTATAGAACCCCACCGGGTCGAAACTTCCGGAGCCATTCACTATGGCGTGTTCCCTAATCATATCGTAGTTTTGGGACGTTCAGTCCCAACAAATACGTTAACATCTGCTTTCGGAACTAGGCAAATGCGGATTGAAACGCCCCATAACAAACTAAACCCCCCCTTCCCGAAAAAAAAAAAAAGAGTTTGGCTACCAACCAGACCAAAGTGGCGGGCAATTGGCTTTATCCTTTTGAGTTTTAGCTCTTACTACTGGGGATTGAACATGAAACTGGCGGGTAATATAAGGGGAAAGTTCTTAGAACTGTGGTGAAAGAAGATTAACCAGCAGACCATTTTTAAGCGATCCCAGAATGCCCCGCGGGCGCGCGGAGCACTATGGGCAAAGTGTGTACGCCGAGCGAGGCAGCTGCTCCGGTGCGAGCTCAAAACGAAAAAAAAAAAAAAAAACGTGCCGCCGCTAATTGATATTATTCTGAACACTCTATAGATATATTCGAACGCACCTGCATGTATCTTCATGCATTATATGTAAAAAGAATGGCAGATGAGCTGAGCGGCACGCTATACAGTAGTTGCGTACTAGATTATTGCGTACTGATAAATTTAGTCTAAACAGGCTATCGTGAGGCATGTGAAATAGGACATTAAATTCATATTAAATGCGAAGCGTTTCTTTGCGAGCTTCGGCGACTTTGAGCGTATCTATCTATCTATCTATCTATCTATCTATCTATCTATCTATCTATCTATCTATCTATCTATCTATCTATCTATCTATCTATCTATCTATCTATCTATCTATCTATCTATCTATCTATCTATCTATCTATCTATCTATCTATCTATCTATCTATCTATCTATCTATCTATCTATCTATCTATCTATCTATCTATCTATCTATCTATTTATCTATCTATCTATCTATCTATCTATCTATCTATCTATCTATCTATCTATCTATCTATCTATCTATCTATCTATCTATCTATCTATCTATCTATCTATCTATCTATCTATCTATCTATCTATCTATCTATCTATCTGTATGTATATCTGTCTATCTGTCTGTCTGTCTGTCTGTCTGTCTGTCTGTCTGTCTGTCTGTCTGTCTGTCTGTCTGTATGTCTGTCTGTCTAGCCGCCTACGACATTCAGCTCTGCTGGCCATTTTGATATCGGTATTGATACCAAACTAGGTATGGCATAACATGACTGTATTAAGTACGTATTTGACTAGTCATAACATGAAAATCTTGACATGTGTGTCATGAATGTCATGATTTACATTTCATGGTCCTGCAGCTCTTGTGGTGATTTCGTTCACATGGCATGCTGCAAAACTGGAATGGTATGGCATGATTGCATTGCGAACACAAGCGACAGACCCTAAGACGAAAATCATGACAGGCATGTCATGTAACAACATGACTAACATGCCACGCTCATGATGCACTCGCGGCCGTTTGAAAAGAGCATGAGAAAGATGGCGCTAGACCAGACTTGCACAAATAGAGATTAAGAAAAGACGATATAAGGCGTCGAAATTTTGTAAAAGCCTCTTCCAGTTAGAAAATGGGACACCTTTTTTTATACCACGGAAAAGAAAGGTGATCATGATTTTGAACTGATAATTTCACTTCCATGGGATATCGAAGGAAGGAACTTAGTACTATTTAAGGAATCTGGATTCAGTGCTAAAAAGTGCATCAAGCACAATGGAGATTACAGGTGCCACCGCGAGAAAGCCATCTCGTTTATAAACATACTACGATGCACCCATACCAACCTCGCCATGCACAAGTGCTCAATGATGTTAATGTATTCAAAACAAAATACCGGGAAAGAGAAACTGAAGTGAGAGAACTAGATACGGACGGAGAAGCAGCAACTACAAAAACCATCGAATTATTTACCGAAGGGGCTAAAAAATTGCTGGGAGCCCTGCTTCGAATGTCGGAGTACTGACCGAGAGACCCAATGAGGATGACCAAGTTAAAGCCACTAAGAAAATATCTGCTCTCAGTTTCTGTTAAAACACGAATTCATCAGTAGCAGTTCCGTTATCAATTCCCAACTGACGTAAACGATCTTCTAACACGCCTGTTAAGAACAGAGAACGTAGAAGTTTAGATTTCGGCGGGAATATGTAATCAAATTTGCTTTTTGTTTAGGCCAGTGAGTTATCATTTGAAACGATGTCGCGTATGCTAGCATTTAAAAGTTCGATCTAGCTGATTTTGCACAAACAAAACTTAAGGTTTACGTGGTCGGGAGAAAAGTTCAGTAAAAATGTTCTCGATTCAGAAAGGAGTTCAAACAGTAATCTTCTTAAAGATGAGTATATTTTTTAATCAGTTTCGGTATCAGTGCAAAATATGCAAGTTAGAGTGGCTCGATTCGAACTTCTTCATATAAAACAATGTTCGTAGTAAATTTTTGTACACCTAGACGACTACGAAGCACCCATAGCTCTAAAATAACCAGGGGATTAATTGTGTATGCTGCCCA